GATGATGCTTTCAAATAGATTTTTCCACATGGTCACCTCAAACTACATCCCATTGGTGATGGCTGGAATTTGTTATCACAGTTATAACTAAACACACAGAATTTAAGTATTCACACTCACGGCCATGATGATAGAAATCCCCCAATCTTGACAAACTTCCTCTTCTTGAAACCCCTCTGCTTCATGAAGAACCCTCACCTAGGAAGCCATGGTAGGTCATGTTCCTTGAGTTTTCCTCTTAACTTCAGCACCTTTTCCTCCTTTTTTATTTTGTTCCTCACCTCTACATTACAAACTCAAAGATGAAGAGGACTTAGGCTTTTTGTCTTATTGTAAACATAACATGTAGACTTCTCTTGGAACTGTTTTAACTAAGCACCAGGTATAAAGTCTTAAGATAAACAATAAATAATTCATAAAAGGTCGGCAGGTGCAATTCACAAGGTTATTGCCGTGGCTCCGTTTCTTAAGAAAATGGCCAAAGGGCTTCACCGAAGAGGGGCAGAGATACTGAAATGAAAATCAGCAATGAAAACCTTCTGACATGGCTTCCAGTCAGAAATGTTGCCAACGGTTCTAGGTGGGAGTTTAAAGTGATGGAAACTTGTAAAACTCACATAAATGGGGGAAAAATGAGAGTTGTAAATTATGACTATCCAAGCTATCTTCCACGTCATTTCTTTAGAATATTTGTGTGAGCCAGCTAGATTTTGGATAACTGGCTAAGGTTTAGCCACAGCAAGACAGGCAAAGTGGGTTTGTTGGGGAAATGGCTAAGGAAGGAAACAAAAGCAGCAAAACTTTTAATAATATCTGTCTAGACTGGATTTTTTAAAAATTTAGAAATAATCACTATAATTTAAAGGAAATCCCAGACTCACTCATTGTTTAGGCCAGCATTTCTCTACCTGGGGGTCGGGACTCCTTGGGGGGGGGGGTCATGAGGGGGTGTCAGACGGGTTGCCAAAGAGCATCAGAAACAGTATTTTCTGATGGTCATGGGGGTTTTGTGTGGGAAGTTTGCCCCAATTCTATCATTGGTGGGGTTCAGAATGCTCTTTGATTGTAGGTGAACTATAAAGCACAGCAACTGCAACTCCCAAATGTCAAGGCCTATTTTCCCCAAACTCCACCAGTATTCACATTTGGGCATAGTGAGTATCTGTGCCAAGTTTGGTCAAGATCCATCATTATTTGACTCCACAGTACTGTCTGGATGTAAGTGAACTACAACTCCCAAAGTCAAGTTCAATCCCCACCAACCCCTACCAGTATTTTCTGTTGGTCATAGGAGTTCTGTGTGCCAACTTTGGTTCAATTCCATTGTTAGTGGAGTTCATAATCCTCTTTGATTATAGGTGAATTATAAATCTCAGCAACTACGACTCCCAAATGACAGAATCAAGATTTAAAAGAATGTCCCATTGAGGAGGAAGGGGTGGGGGGGGGGGGGAGAGGAGGGATTGACTTTCTTCTGCTCTAGAGACCAGGGCAAAAAACAGGGGGGAAAATGACAGGGAAAGCGATTTGACTGAAAAGATTAGGAAGAAATTTCTGAAGAGTGGCATAGGTTGTCTCGGAATCTTCTTCTCTGGAGGCTTTTTTGCAGAGGCTGTCTATAGAGAGTGATTTGATTGTGTCTTCCTGCATGGCAGGGGGTTGGACTGGATAAACCTTGGGAGTCTCTTTCAGCTCTAGGATTCTATGATTATTTTCAGGAATAGGCAATACGGGGTCTCATTGATACACTTTTTGTCTCCCATCCATCATCTCATCCTGACCAAGACCAACTCTTTTGGAAGGAGAGGAAAGGACAGGGAAGGGGTCTTGGGGAGAACCCTCCCAGCTCACCCACCCCACTCTGGCCTGCCATGCAGCCCCCAAGTTAGAAAGTTTGCCCATGCCTGATATAAAGCTTAGTTCAGGCATGTCATTAGGATTGGTGCCACTCACTGCAATAACTTATGGTGTCACTCCTAGGCCAGACCTTTCCACAGTATTGTAGCTAAAATTTCAGAATATTTATCAAAATCAGGGATTATAAAACAAACAGCAATGAAAAAACAGTGTACTTGCAGCATGGGCAGACAAAACAGAAGGATTTGAGACATCATTGTAATTGATAATAATGATGGTTTGGGCTGGAGCGGATGAATACTATAAGGTTCAAAAAGTAAAACAGAATAGAGTTTTAATTTTGCAGGTATATTTATGCAGCATGTGTCTGCTGGCCAAACAAATATTTTTGTGGTTAGATCTAACTACAGTGATAGTTTTATTAAAATTAATCAATTTATGCTAAAACATAATTTATAGAAAGTCATTTTAATGTCAACCCTAATGATTTCCTATGCAGAGAGGACCGGGACATCCACAGAGATACCAAGGTGCTTGTTTATAAAGTTGTTGTCCTCCCAACCCTGCTATACATCTGCGTAATGTGGACTAACTACAGACGTCACACTCAACTCCTGGAAGGATTCCATCACTGTTGCCTCTGAAAAATCCTGCAAACCTCTTGGGAAGATAGGCGGACAAATATAGGCATGCTAGAAGAAGCAAAGACCACTAACAATGAAGCGATGCTCCTACACCTTCAACTCCGCTGGACTGATCACGTTGTCCGAATGCCTGATCACTGTCTCCCAAAGCAGTTACTATATTCCCAACTCAAGAATGGGAAATGTAATCTTGGTGGACAGGAAAAGTGATTTAAAGATGAGCTTAAAGCCAACCTCAAAAACTGTGGCATAGACACCGAGAACTGGGAAGCCCAGGTGCTTGAGCACTTTAACTGGAGGTCAGCTGTGACCAGCAGTGCTGGAGAATTCAAAGAGGCACAAATGGAGAGTGAAAGGGAGAAATGTGCCAAGAGGAAGGCACGTCAAGCCAACCCTGACAGGGACCGTCTTCCACCTGGAAACCAATGCCCTCACTGTGGGAGAACATGTGGATCAAGAATAGGGCTCCACAGCTACCTACGAACCCACCGCCAAGGCACCAGATGTGGAGGACCATCATCCTCGGGCTATGAGAGATCACCTAAGTAAGTGAGTAAGTAAAGTTTCCTATACAATTCGAATCTCACTTGAACACCTTTCTAGTGATACCACTGTCTGAGTTTTCTTGTTTTGCCTTTTTCACCCCATTCCTCCTTCCCTCTTTCTTTCTTTCTTTCTTTCTTTCTTTCTTTCTTTCTTTCTTTCTTTCTTTCTTTCTTTCTTTCTTTCTTTCTATGTCTTGTTAGACTGCAAGCCTGAAGGCGAAAACTGTTTGGTTTGGCTTTTTTAATTGATCGATAAGCTGCTCTGGGAGCCTTTCCAGCTGAAAACTGGATATATGAATGCTTTAAATAAAGAAGAAAGGCAGGCGCATTGCAGTGTGATACTGCAGTGGCCTTGATTTAAGAAAATGTCTGAAGCCCAGAAGGAAAAACAAAAAGGCCATGTTGAGGGGCAAGGAAGCTGAAACGAAATGTACTCTTACATAGCTTCAAACCAGGGATTTTCAGAGTGAGGAAAGTTGCTTCTAAGAAGAATGACTTATAATAGCATCTTGAAGCCAGCCATAGTTGTGTGGTGAGTAATTGCACAGTCAGAGATAGGCTCCCTACACTTATTCTTAGACGAAACCCTCTGGGCTCTGGGAAATTTGCTAGCGACTATCTAAAGGACAGTAAAAACTGGAGATGCGAGAAAATGTTGCTAGAGAACCAGCTAGATCAGTGGTTCTCAACCTTCCTAATGCCACGGCCCCTTAATACAGTTCCTCATGCTGTGGTGACCCCCAACCATAAAATTATTTTTGTTGCTACTTCATAACTGTAATTTTGCTACCAAACTTGGCACACAGAACTCCCATGACCAACAGAAAATACTGGAAATATTTGGTGGGCATTGACTGAATTTTGGAGTTCTAGTTCACCTAAATCCAGAGAGCACTGGGGACTCAAACAATGGCACTAATACTCAGTATACCCTAATGTGAACACTGGTGGAGTTTGGAAAATAGACCTTGACATTTGGGAGTTGTAGTTGCTGGCATTTATAGTTCACTACAATCAAAGAGCCCCTCGAACCCTACCAACGATAGAATTGGGCCAAACTTCCCACACAGAACCCCCATGACCAACAGAAAACACTGTGTTTTCTAATGGTCTTTGGTGACCCCTCTGACACCACCACAATTGAAGGGAGATGTTGACCAGCTAGAAGGAGGGCAACTCAAATGATCAAGGGTCTGGAGAACAAATGCTATGAGGAGCGGCTTAAAGAGCTGGGCATGTTTAGCCTGCAGAAGAGAAGGCTGAGAGGAGACATGATGAGGGACATATATAAATATGTGAGGAGAAGTCATAGGGAGGAGGGAGCAAGCTTGTTTTCTGCTGCCCTGAAAACTAGGATACAGAACAATGGCTTCAAACTATAGGAAAGGAGATTCCACCTGAACATTAGGAAGAACTTACTAACAGTAAGCAGTGTTCATCAGTGGAACTCTCTGTCCCAAAGTGTGGTGGAGGCTCCTTCTTTGGATGCTTTTAAACAGAGGTTGGAAGGCCATCTGTCAGGGGTACTTTGAATGTGACTTTCCTGCTTCTTGGCAGGGGGTTGGACTGGATGGCCCACAAGGTCTCTTCCAACTCTATGATTTTATCCTCCAGAGCTTTGGGGAAGCTCCAGCACGTTCCTCGACTTTCTCTAACTTGGGGCACAGCGTATTAAGTGGCTGTATTCAGTACTGGGCCAAGAAGGCTCCATGCATCATGTAAATGCAATTGGGGTCTATTTTCTCCCATTTCATGGTATAGTGCCCATATAAATGTGCCCCTTGACTCCCCATTGCAGTGCTCCTTCGCCCCTCATTTTTTCACCTTTGGTCTTCTTGTTCCTCTTTGTGGCTCTTGGTTTTCTAAGGAAAAATTGCTCCACGCCTTCCATTGCAATGACTATAAAATCTGAGGTTTCTCTTCAGTTGCTGTTGCAGAATCCAGAAATTGTGCCATGGCACAGGCTACGATGTAAGTAAAGGATACAACCTTCCCCACAAATCTGGCCAAATAAAGGGGTTCTGCCTCCTTCCAAATGGGATGGGAAAGACCAAGTCTGTCAAAAGCTAAGTATATGTTTGTAGGGTTTTCTGAGGCTATGAATGAGTTGGGATCATGTCATTGTGAGATCTTCCCCAAATCAGGGAGAGAGGAGTAACTTTGTCCAAGGCACATCCATGAATTTACTATGTCATTGCCTCCTTCATAGAGTTTTTGTGGGGTCAAACTGGAAAGAGGTGTGACTTTTAGATGTCATCTTGAGATTTTTGAAATGAAGTGCATATAATCACATATTCCTCAATCATCTCTCTTTATAGGGTGTTTTGCTTCGTTTTCCTCATCTTTCTCTATTGTGGCATCAACATCAATGGAGGTAGGTCTTGGCTGGGGAAAAAGAGCTACTGTTCCACTGTCTTTTTTGTTGTTAGATTCAGGAGAGAGCTAGTAAAAGTTACTTGTTTGGACTACAGCTCCCAGATAGAGCTGGCTTCACCATGGTCAGTGATGAGTGAGATATTATGGGAATTATAGTCCAAGCTCGAGTTCAAGTATAGGTTGTTCTGTCAAATTTTTGTGTTCTGAATTTTATTTCAGGGAGATTTGAGCCACAATCGTCTTCTTTATCACATCCTTCTTCTTCTCGTGAGTATGGTGGGAGCGAAGGAGTAGAGTTCACACATGCACGGATCCAAAAGAAAGGGCCAATCACTGCTATTAGGATCCGAGCTGTCTGGCATTTCATCGTGGGGTAAGAGAGTTCAAACGTTTGCCATTTGAAAGGAGAGGCTGAGAAAGTGCAATTTTGGAGCTCTAATCTTGCAATAGATCAGTGGTTCTCAACCTTCCTGATGCCGTGACCCTTTAATACAGTTCCTCATGTTGTGGTGACCCCCAAACATAAAATTATGTTCGTTGCTACTTCATAACTGTAATTTTGCTACTGTTATGAGTTGTAATGTAAGTAACTGATATGCAGGATGTATTTTCATTCACTGGACCAAATTTGGCACAAATACAGAATAAGCCCAAATTTGAATACTGGTGGGGTGGGGGAAATTGATTTTGTCATTTGGGAGTTGTAGTTGCTGGGATTTATAGTTAACCTACAATCAAACTCCACGAACAATGGAAGTGGACCAAATTTGGCACACAGAACTCCATGACCAACAGAAATACTGGAAGGGTTTGGTGGTCATTGACCTTGAGTTTTGGAGTTGTGGTCCACTTACTTCCAGAGAGCATTGTGGACTCAAACAATGATGGATCTGGACCAAACTTGGCGTGAATTCTCAATATGCCCAAATGTGAACACTGGAGGAATTTGGGGAAAATAGACCTTGACATTTGGGAGTTGTAGTAGCTGGGATGTATAGTTTACCTATAATCAAAGAGCATTTTGAACCCCACCAACGATGGAATTAAACCAAACTTGGTACACAGAACCCACATGACCATCAGAAAATACTGTGTTTTCTGATGGTCTGGCTTGACTCCCAGGTTGAGAAACGCAGCAATAGATTGATCGGATGCTACTAAATGGAGAGATGGTACGCAAATGGAGTTGCCCTTTCTTTATGTGGCTGGAACTGTACCTGTAACAGTGGTTTTCTTTGGAGACTTAGTTTTGCCATGAAAAAAGATCTACATGATTTAGACACTGTGTAACAAATGGTGGAGATGAAACAGGCAAACTATCCAATTCTTTCAGATTTCAGTGTCTAAGACACACAGTGATGACCCAGACAATTGCTTCAAAATATTTTTGTGCTCCAGAGTGGGTATCTCCCAATGACTCAGTAGGGTAATTTTTCCACAAAGATGCCAGGGTCCATGTGCCACACAATATCTGGAAACACTGGAGCATTGTAATGCATTATAACATGTATTCTGCACGGGAGTTGTACTGCACGAAAGTTAGGTTCTGGGAGTTGTAATGCACAAGAAAGGAAGGATTTTCTCTTTTAAAATTTAGGTGTTGGGTAATTTTATGCTTATGTTGCTGTTACTGTTATTTTCTGTTCATGTTGTGTCTCTGTACGTTTTGATGTTGTTGCTTGGAAACCGCCCTGAGTCCCCACGGGGAGATAGAGCGGTATATAAATAAAGTATTATGATGACGATTATTATTATTATTATTACTACTAGTGGTCCCCTGCCATGCGTTGCTATGGCCCAGTCTGGTGACCTGGAAAATAAAGTAATGAGAAAGTGTTGGTTTCTAATATATGTAATTTCTTGATGCTTGTGGGTAAACAGTATTTCTTGCTATTTCTTTGCCAGTGTTGATCTGGAGATTGTCTGGTTTGCCTACTCTGGAACATGCAACATATCATTGTCCTTCTTTAGGGGTCCCTTTCAAATCTTTGATACTGCATCTGTCATATATATTTATGTTGGATGGGGTCGCACTCCCCCTGAAGACGCAGGTTCGCAGTTTGGGTGTGATCCTGGACTCATCGCTGAGCCTGGAACCCCAGGTTTCGGCGGTGACCAGGGGAGCATTCGCACAGTTAAAACTCGTGCGCCAACTGCGCCCGTACCTTGGGAAGTCTGACTTGGCCACGGTAGTCCACGCTCTGGTTACATCCCGTTTAGACTACTGCAACGCTCTCTACGTGGGGTTGCCTTTGAAGACGGCCCAGAAGCTCCAATTAGTCCAACGCTCGGCAGCCATGATACTAACTGGAGCGGAGCGCAGGGAGCATACAACTCCTCTGCTGCACCAGCTCCACTGGCTGCCGATCTGCTACCGGGCTCAATTCAAAGTGCTGGCGCTGGCCTTTAAAGCCCTAAACGGTTCTGGCCCAACTTACCTATCCGAACGTATCTCAGCCTATCAGCCCACCAGGACCCTAAGATCTTCTGGGGGGGCCCTGCTCTCTATCCCGCCTGCTTCACAGGTGCGGCTGGCGGGGACGAGAGACAGGGCCTTTTCTGTGGTGGCCCCGCGGCTATGGAACGCCCTCCCCATGGAGGTAAGATCAGCCCCCTCATTGATGGTATTCCGGAAAAGACTAAAAACCTGGATGTTCGAGCAGGCGTTCGGTTAACTCAGTGCAATAAGTGTAATGATTGAAGGACTGGCAATTTGGACGACGAAACTGGATCGCGATTTTAGTCAAGAGATGAATTGGATTGTTTATTGATATATGTATTGTGGATCGTGTTTTTATGCTTTTAAACTGTATACTGTTGTTTGTTATAAGTTGTTGTAAACCGCGTTGAGTCGCCGGCTAGGCTGAGAAACGGCGGTATACAAGTATAGCAAATAAATAAATAAATATACACATATGTGTGTGTGTGTGTGAATGGTTGGATGGCCCTTTGTCAGGAGGGCTTTGATTATGTTTTCCTGCCCTGGTGAAGGGAGTTGGACTGGATGGCCTTAGGGCAGCATTTCTCAACCTGAGGGTGTCAGAAGGGTCACCCAAGACCACCAGAAAACACGGTATTTTCTGTTGGTCATGGGGGTTCTGTGTGGGATGTTTGGCCCAATTCCATCGTTGGTGAGGTTTGGAATGGTCTTTTATTGTAGGTGAACTATACATCCTAGTAACTACAACTCCTAAATGACAAGGTCTATTTCCCCCAAACTCCATCTGTGTTCACATTTGGGCATATTGAGTATTTGTGGCAAGTTTGATCTAGATCCATCATTGTTTGACTCCCCGGTGCTGTCTGGATGTAGGTGAACTACAACTCCCAAACTCAAGGTCAATACCCACCAAACCCTTCTAGTGTTGTCTGTTGGTCATGGGAGTCCTGTGTGCCAAATTTGGTTCAATTCCATCGTTGGTGGAGTTCAGAATGCTCTTTGATTATAGGTGAACTATAAATCCCAGCAACTACAACTCCTTGTGTTTTGAGACGTTTTGTTGCCAAATTTGGTGTGATTTCATTCATTGGTTCTTTTGTTTTTAAGGTACTCATTATGCACAGAGCATTTATATATACTGTATATACTCGAGTATAAGCCTAGTTTTTCAGGCCTTTTTTGGGCTGAAAAAGTCCCTCTCAGCTTATACTCGAGTCAAGGTTATTTATTATTATTTTTACTCTGTTATAAATACGTAATAAATGTATTATTATTATTATTATTATTATTATTATTATATTACACTTATTATTTTACTTTATTGTTGTTATTATTATATTTATTATTTTACTCTATTTATTATTATTATTAAATTTATTATTTTACTCTATTTATTATTATTATTATTATTATTATTACATTTATTATTTTACCCTATTTTTATTGGAAGGGTTTGCAAGTTTTATGTAAAAATTACAGATTTATGTAAATATTAAAAAACATTTAACCTCCTGATGCCTCAATTAATGTAATTTTATTGCTATCTATTTTTATTTTGAAATTTACCAGTATCTGTTGCATTTCCTACCCTCGGCTTATACTCGAGTCAATCTGTTTTCCTAGTATTTGTGGTAAAATTAAGTGCCTCGGTGTATATTTGGGTCGGCTTATACTCGAGTATATACGGTATATAGATGATGATTATTGTTGTTGTTGTTATGAAAGAACATTACCAAGCAGATGCTCTTCTTTCGTTCTAGCCTCCAGATCCGATATGGCCAGCAATGGAGTAAATACGTGGGTGGCCCATTTGGAAAACTGCAAGAGGTCCCATTGTTCCAAGGCGAATACATTACCCAAATCAGAGGGAGTTATGGCACCTATCTTCACAAACTCGAATTTATCACTGATCAACGGCGCCAATTATCCTTTGGACAGGACCGGGGCATCCTTTTCAACGCAATTCCACCCCAAAAGGATGCTGTTTTGCGGTACCTCAGTGGCCGCTCTGATTATTTCATTAAGGCCATCCGTTTCCACTGGGATGTTAAACCCGGACAAAGAGAGGAGTGAAAACAGCAACGGACAAGGACACTGAGCTTTAGACCAGTGGTTCTCAACCTGTGGGTCCCCGGGTGTTTTGGCCTACAACTCCCAGAAACCCCAGCCAGTTTGTCAGCTGTTAGGAATTCTGGGAGTTGAAGGCCAAAACATCTGGGGACCCACAGATTGAGAAACATTGCTTTAGAAGGATATTTTTGGACAACAGTTCCCAGTGACCATGCCAGGGAGGGGATTCTGGGAGTTGTTGTTCCAAAAACTAATTCTTCCAAGCTCTGGCTTTATGGTGGCATGTGGTCTAGGCTGGGGAGAATAGTTGGTAGGTGCAACTCAACTCCAAAGTGCAAGGCTGCTCTCCCTTTCCCATTTGTTTCCCATATCACCTCCCATTATGAGCTAAATTATTCTTTCAATCCCCTCAGTATCCAAAAATTCTTCTGGGTGGATTCAATTTTATCCATTCAAACCAGTGGTTTGGTCCTCCAGATGTCAGGGGTGATTTGAATGCAATATTCCTGCTTCTTGGCAGGGGGTTGGACTGGATGGCCCATGAGGTCTCTTCCAACTCTTTGATTCTATGATTCTATGTTTTGGACTCCAATTCCCAGAACCCTCAACCAGCTTGGACAGTTCTCAGGAATTCCAGGAGCTGAAGTTCCAAACATCTGCAAGATGAAAGGTTGAAAACCACGGTTTATATATTTCTGCTGTTTTATCACTCTTTTATCCCACCTTGCAAACTTCCTTCTTCCTCCACAAATATTGTATCCATCTGCTCAGTTCTTGTTGCTTCCAGCAAACTGTGATGTCTTTCTACTGTCGATCAATTGAGCCAACAAACCTGTCCCGTTTAATTAGAGTTCTCTCTTCTGTCAAATGTAAAACATGATCAAGATCACAGGCCGTTTGTAATACCAACTAATAAAATGCCAATTTGAAACAAAGTCTCAAGTCCTGAAGTTCTTTATTCATTGTCTACCCACTTTGAAGAATGAAGGAAGGTCTGCTATGTGAATAGAGAGATTCATAGAAGTCATTCAGACTTAGAACCTGGATGCCAATGGGATTTTGGCCTGCATAAATAATAATAATAATAATAATAATAATAATAATAATAATAATAACAACAACACTTTATTTATACCCCGCTACCATCTCCCCAAGGGACTCTGTGCGGCTTACATGAGGCCGAGCCCAAAATACAACAATACAAGCAATAACAACAATACAAGCAATTTAAAAACAACAAAACAACAAAACAATAACATAAACATTATCAATAGGATAACACACTTTAAAATCTATTTTTAATTTAATTAAAATTAAAAAATAATGCTGGACATGGGCGAAAAAGTGATGGGGCGGTTTGTGGAAACATACAAGCAGACCTAAAACAATATGAAGTGCTTTGGAGGACAAGGTGCTATGGGATCATTATTCTGGGAAGGCACACTGGAACAACCACGTCTTCAAGCTCCTCTTAAAGACTGCCAGAGTTGGGGTATGCCTGATGTCCTTAGGAAGTGAGTTCCAGAGTCAAGGGGCCACCACCGGAAAGGCCCTCTCTCTCGTCCCCACCAATCGCGCTTGTGATGCAAGTGGAAGTGAGAGCAGGGCCTCTCCAGATGATCGAAGAGATCGTGTGGGTTCATATACAGAGATGTGGTCACAGAGGTAGGTGGGTCCCAAACCGTTCAGGGCTTTGTAGGTGAGAACCTGCACCTTGAATTGGGTCCGGAAAATGAATGGCAGCTAGTGGAGCTCCTTAAACAGGAGGGTTGACCGCTCCCTGTAAGGAGCCCCGATTAACAACCTGGCTGCCGCCCGTATAAATAGGAGTAGAGTGTCTAGATCTAGGGGAGTCGTGCTACCCCTCTATTCTGCTTTGGTCAGACCACACCTGGAATCATACTGTGTCCAATTCTGGGCACCCCAATTGAAGGGAGATGTTGACAAGCTGGAATGTGTCCAGAGGAGGGTGATTCAAATGATCAAGGGTCTGGAGAACAAACCCTATGAAGAGCGGCTTAAAGGGCTGGGCATGTTTAGCCTGAGAAGGCTGAGAGAGATATGACGAGGGCCGTGTATAAATATGGGAGGCTGGGGAAGTCATAGGGAGGAGGGAGCGAGCTTGTTTTCTGCTGCCACGGAGACTAGGATGCGGAACAATAGCTTCAAACTACAGGAAAGGAGATTCCACCTGAACATTAGGAAGAACTTCCTGACTGTGAGAGCTGTTCAGCAGTGGAACTCTCTGCCTTGGAGTGTGGTGGAGGCTCCTTCTTTGCAGGCTTTTAAGCAGAGGCTGGATGGCCATCTGTTGGGGGTGCTTTGAATGCAATTTTCCTGCTTCTTGGCAGGGGGTTGGACTGGATGACCCATGAGGTCTCTTCCAACTCTATGATTCTATAATGGAAGCTGGAACATGTTTAGAGGAGGGTGGCAAAATGTCTGCAATCTGCAATCCAAGCCCTATCACTACTGACTTCAACAGTTAGTATACTAAAATAGCTAAAGGAATGCTATGTAGATGGAACAGCTTGTTTTCTGGTGATGATGGGATTGGGATTATGAGCCAATAGGGTCAAAATATAAGAGAAGAGATTCCACCAAACGTTAGGAAGGATTTCTTGAATCTTAAGAGCTGCTGACAGTGGAATAGGTTGCCTCAGAAATATTAAAAATTAACTTGGTATTTTTTATTACAAATGTGTGAACCAAGCACTGAAAGAGTGAGTAGGTTGAAGCCTGTTAGAGTTAGTGGGCCAAAGCTAGCATTGCCCTGAGGAGAGTGAGTAGGCCGAAGCCTGGTAGTGTTAGTTTGCCTCAGTGAGCGAACTCCTCAGTCAGTGTGAGGTAAACTGCTGTGTGTGAGAGAAGCCACGTGTAAAAAGCCCCAGTGTTAAGGCTGCTGCATGTAAAGCTACTATGTATTTCTCAGTTCTTGTGGGTTTTTTCGGGCTATATGGCCATGTTCTAGAGCAGTGGTTCTCAACATTCCCAATGCCATGACCCCTTAATACAGTCCCTTATGTTGTGGTGACCCCCAACCATAATATTGTTTTTGTTGCTACTTCATAACAGTCATTTTACTACTGTAATAAATCATAATGTAAATATCTGATATGCAGGATGCATTTTCATTCATACCCAAATGTGAATGCTAGTGGGGTTGGGGGAGGATTGATTTTGTAATTTGGGAGTTGTAGTTGCTGGGATTTATAGTTCACTTATAATCAAAGAGCATTCAGAACTCCACCAGCGATGGATTTGAACCAAACTTGGCTCCCATGACCAATGGAAAACACTGGAAGGGTTTGACGGGCATGGACCTTGAGTTTGGGAGTTGTAGTTCACCTATATCCAGAGAACACTGTGGACTCATGCAATGGTGGATCTGGACCAAACTTGGCACGAATACTCAATATGCCCAAATGTGAACACTGGTGGAGTCTGGGGAAAATAGATCTTGACATTTGGGAGTTGTAGTTGCTGGGATTTATAGTTCATTACAATCAAAGAACATTCTGAACTCCACCAACGATAGAATTGGCTCAAACTTACCACATGGAATCCCCATGACCATCAGAAAATACTGTGTTTTCTGATGGTCTTTGGCGACCCCTCTGACACCCCTCGCGACCCCCTCAGGGGTCCCGACCCCCAGGTTGAGAAACACTGTTCTAGAGGCAGTCTCTCCTGACGTTTCGCCTGCATCTATGGCAAGCATCCTCAGAGGTGAGGTGTCTCTGCTTCGTCTTCCAAAATGCTCTGCCACTTAGCTTCACGGAGCAGCCGCAGTTCCAGCAGACCTCACCTCTGAGGATGCTTGCCATAGATGCAGGCGAAAAACGTCAGGAGAAATGCCTCTAGAACATGGCCATATAGCCCGAAAAAACCCACAAGAACTGAGTGATTCCAGCCATGAAAGCCTTCGACATTACTATGTATTTGTTTATTTGTGTTATAGAAACCTTGTTATTGTAAATAGTGCAACTATATTTTGCTGTTCATTCGTTCAGTCATCTCCGACTCTTCGTTACCTCATGGACCAGCCCACGCCAGAGCTCCCTGTCGGCCATCACCACCCCCAGCTCCTTCAACTATATTATTTTACCACAAAGAAAAGCCGCCTATGGAAGAGATAATATTATGAGGAGGGTCTTTTGTTAATAAGACCACTAGCCTCTTCTTTGGGACTTTAGGCAGAGGTTGAATGGCTATCTTTCTGGACTCCTGCATGACGGTGAGTGGGACTACAATGTCTCTGTCAATTCTATGATTTTTGAATTTGTTTAACAATCATAGAATCATAGAATCAAAGAGTTGGAAGAGACCTCATGGGCCATCCAGTCCAACCCCCTGCCAAGAAGCAGGAATATTGCATTCAAATCACCCCTGACAGATGGCCATCCATCCTCTATTTAAAAGCTTCCAAAGAAGGAGCCTCCACCACACCCCGGGGCAGAGAGTTCCACTGCTGAACGGCTCTCACAGTCAGGAAGTTCTTCCTCATGTTCAGATGGAATCTCCTCTCTTGTAGTTTGAAGCCATTGTCCTAGTCTCCAGGGAAGCAGAAAACAAGCAACAATGTCTGTTGGGGAGCTATAAAACTAAATGCAACTATGCAACAATAGCCCTCATCCAAGCCAGGGGGATTTTTGGCACTTCAAATGGTTTCTGTTGAAATTCCAACAATCTCTTGCCTTGTGGGGCTGATGAATGTTGTTGGTCAAAACATTAGAGAGAGACATGTCTCCTATTTCTGTTGTTGTTTATTCGTTTAGTCACTTCTGACTCTTCGTGACCTCATAGACCAGCTCACGCCAGAGCTCCCTGTCGGCCGTCACCATCCCCAGCTCCTTCAGAGTCAAACCAATCTGATCCTGTTAATTTGCTCTGTTTCCATGATATTTCCTATGCCATTATACATTGTTATCCACCTTACTAAACCACCTTACCCTTTAACCAGCTCACGTAGTGGCTTTTTTCCTCCGCCCCTTCAAAATTAGTCTGCTGTTATTGTTGTTGCTAGCCATTATTGTTATGTTGTCTTACACTGTTTTATGCTGTCTTAATTGTTATTGCTTTGTTTTTAATTGTATTCTGCCTTGGGCTTGGGCCCCATGTAAACCACCCCGAGTCCCTTTGGGGAGATGGA